AAATTCACGCCATATTCCACCCTTCAAACCGAAACACAGCCATGCAAACACAACTGCTTCACGGTTGAAACCCGAATGGGACAGAGGTGCCCAAGCAAACGACTTTTGTACAAAGTCTCCCTCTGTTTTTTTTTAATTAAGTGGTAACCCTGCCTGCGCGGGGGGAGAAGGGATTGTTAGTAATGCGAACTACTGTTGCTAAGAATATACCCTGTCAGGTCGACCTCCAAGTGGTCCCCCTGAAAATCATCGTGCTGAATTCCAGTTGTATTCATCACGAAGGGCTAACTGACCTTCCTTTTCACACTCGCCTATCATCCCTCATTGATGCCTCGCCAGCGTATACCGTTAGTGCGGGTAGGGTTACCATTTCATTATCAAACTCTGTCTACACTATCGGTATACTCTCGCGGGCATTAGTAAACTATGACAGGTAAAGATATTCAAAGGTTAGTCAAAATTATGAATTCAACAAGAAGATATTCCTGGCAAGGAATGGGGTTGGTAGATACCATTACAGTAATTTCCTCCCACCATTAAGAGATAACAAACTCATTTTCACATTTATAATATAATATTAGTAAACATAAAAATAAAATCATGAAGGTAATAACTTGTTTCTATTAAATATATCATTTATATGAATAAGCGTAGTAATACGTTTATGCGTTTAGCATAATAATTCTAATATTATAAATGTGAAAATTCGTTAATATGTTTGGATGTTACTCAATCACGCTTATACGATTGAACAGGTTTGTATAAAATTTGGTATACGGGTAGATTATATCCTAAGCTTTTCAAGCAAGCAATGCCATAGTAATACAGCTAATATTTAAACTGAACTCAATTCTGTCAATTAGTATTATGTCAGTTAGTATCAATTAGTATTGTTAATATGTGACAAATACTAATGCAATATTTTACTGCATAAAATAACTACTTTAATTGTGCGTGACAAAATGAATATCATGTCAATTATGTAATATTTAAATTATTTGTTCCACTATCGTTATTGAAAATGTTCTTGTTATTTATATACGTGATCTGTTTCGTAATATTCATCCTCAGGCGTATTTATAAAAACTATAATAATTATAAGTCGGTTACTTCTGTGGTAAGTACTTCTATAAGTCTTAAGTACATAGACTAACTTAATCAACAGAAACATCACCAACTAATGGGAGAATAGCAATATAACAATACAATGTATTGTAGCAAATGTACCGAAAAATGTATATAAAGGGTCAAAATAATGTTTTTTTTTTTAATTTTTGTCCGTCTGTTTGTTTGTTTACTAGTATTACGCAAAACAACTGCATCAAATTAGTTGCACTTTTCACAATTGTGTTCATGTAGTTCTAACTTAAAATCTGGTATATGTTTTATCTAAATCACCATAATAATGACATTATGATTCTATGATTAATTTTAAAGTGTTGTTATTTGAATAAAATTACAAAGTTATAAACGATTTCCTTAAAAAATGCTTATTAGCGCCATCTATCTGTTTGTATTATAAATATTTAAGCAAAAAAATTTAACAGGTAAACACTTAAGTTACTTTAAGTATATCATTGATCCCAGTAGATGACGTTACTTGTAAATAAAACGTAAAATTATTGAAAAACATATTTGAACTTGTATGTAATTCATGCCAAAATTTTGCGGTCTTTCTGCAGTAAAGAAAACTATGGATAATTGTGGATGTGTGTTAATTCTTGGTTTATACTGTTGATCTGAAAGCACTATAAAAGTAAGTATAATATTTTAATATATTTTATAATTGACTAATCAATCTTGATATTTCTTTTATTGAATTAACGTTGTTTATAATAAATATATACTTATTTTTAATACCATAAAGATGGCAAACTAGCAAACGGCCTTAGATTATACATACAGCCCATCTCATGGTAAACGGTTACTTTAGTCTATGAACACTTACAACATCAGGGGTATCACGTGGGCGTTGCCGACCTTGAAGAAACCTTAATAGGCCCATTTTAATGAACCCCGTACTGTAGTTTCTAGGTAAAACTTCAGCATAGAGTTCATTCAACAGTCTGATGTTCGCGAGAGTTTTTTTTTAATGGGTGATAATGGAATGGTAACCCCACCCGTGCTAACGGTATACACCGGCGGGGTACCAGTGAAGGATGATAAGTGAGAATGAAGCAGGTCAGTTAGCCCGTCGTGACGAATTGTTCACAATGGTTTCCAGGAGGAGCCACGTGGAGGTCGACCTTATAGGACATATTGCTAGCAATGGGGCAGTCAAACTCCATTGTTAACAATCCCTCTCCCCCCTGTTCGCGGGAGTATACTCCTCTAAATTTAATATTAATTTAATTGCGTTATTGAATTAGTTTCCTGTTATTTTTAAATGATAATTTTTAATTAGAAAAAAATGAGGCCGTAATTATTTAGTCAGTCTGTAATAAATATATCAAGGAAAAAATGAATAAACTTTTCAGCTAATTGTTGCCCGCGACTTTACACACGTACACACCCAAATTTAAAAATAAATTCTCGTTCCTATGAAAATTTCGGGAAACTTTTTGAAATTCGTTACCTTTTACATAGTCTACGTCACAAAGAACCCTTGTGCAGAATTACGTGTAAAACATAGTTTAGGATTGGTATTTTTTTTTCTACGTTTTAAAACCACCAGTTTGACTTTAAAAAAAGATATCAAAAAAGCTGAGTAATAGAATTGATTGATGTTATTTAATCTATTCATATGACATTAATGTCTACATTCTGCAACTGTTACAAATATTATAGACACAGATATATGTAAATACATTATAATTCAACTAAGCATATTACCACTAAACTTGGTCGACCTTGATTGTGTAGCGGTTTAACTCGCCGTTTTATATCTCGACGGTCGCGGGTTCTCCACACAATACTAACATTTTGTATTCATGAGTATATATATCTGTTTTTTTATTATTTCGGATATTATCTATGTATAATATGTATGTATCTATTAATAAAAGTTTCTTTATGTATAGTTTAAATTTTGTTTAACTAGATGGCGCTATGTTATAGCCATAGCCGTCATTAGTGGTATTTATTTATTAAAAAAAAGTTTTAGTTATATACTTTTTTTCTTATTACTACAATTCTTATTAAACAGTTTTAGCACGTGCTTTTATCAAATTTAATTATTTTATTCATTTTATAAGCGCAACGCTATCATCACACCAATCGTCTAATTCACAAGAATCCTGTGTTACGGAACAATCACCCAACGAACATGTAAGGACACAACGCAGAACTGGCTGAATTTAATAATAAAAATTATAATAAGATATTTTTGACCTTATTCTAATTTAAAGCTCATTTTTCTTTTATGTTACTAGTTATTGATACAATACCTCCTCCCGTACTAAACCCTTTCATAAACACATTTTGTAACGTTGTTTATGGTATTTCTCTAAATGTTTTTCCAACATTTCGGTATATAATGCTTGATTTATACTAATTAAGGATAAAATGTATATATGTAAATTACATGCAATTACGTAAATTATAATAATTAATGAAATCTGTTTAAATCTCTATCTATGATGACAAGTTTAGTTAGTAGGGATTTGATTAAAACGGCCATGACATTATAGTCACTGGTCTTAGACCTCTATTACTAAAAATGTACTTTGACCATCAATGATAAGAAACCTTCATATGTTGTAAACACATAAACTTTTAGACGTTCATGTATTTATTGGTATATTGAGACATTATTTGACATAACCTATTTTATTACAAAATGCGGACCAAAGATGATATCAGAATTAGCACTGGAAATAAACCATGGAACAAAAACAATAAGTACAAAACGAAGTTTATCACTAAATCATGGATTATCTGTGTTTCAAAGGTAGACCTCCGACACCTAATCAGTTAAACATAGTTTAACTGTAAAAATTTAAAGTTCAATTCACAATATTCCAGAATTTTGAAAAATGTTTTATTAAAAAATATAACAGAAACAATCTGTAGTATTATTATAAAAAATATAATTACCCATTTCAAATAACCACGTAATAATTAATAAATTATATATTGTATCCTATTATGTATTATTTACATTTAAATATATAATATTTAAATACACGTTACGTATTAATTTTTTTAATTTTATTAGGATTAAGAGACCAATTCAGTCAGCAAGTTACACTTGATTTAAGTATGATTTAACTAGGTATCAAAGCGAAATTAAAGAAATATTTCAGTTTATGATAAAAATTTAAATACTATTACATAAAACCCTTATCCTTAAAAATGGCGGCGTTAGTAACATGCCCAGGAATGTTTATCTTAACAATATTTGGAAAAGAAATACTTTGGTACACAACTCCACTTCATAAAGTTCTTGGACATTACCCCATATAGTATAGTAGCAATATAATAAAATCATAATGAAATAAAAATATTTTATACTGAAAGACAATTAGCAGTTTCTTCTACAAGAAATTTCTTAGATATTATAAAAAAAAAACTTACAGCAATAGTCTAAACCTAGTGTAAAAGTTCTTATACCTTATATATATTTATATGGAATCGTTGACATAAGACACTGCAAGTAACTCATTTGGTATATAACTACCATGTCATTCTTAAATTTCACAGTGATATTACAAATACTCGTAAACCTAATGTACATTATATTAGGTTTTGTCAATCTCTAAAATTATTAATATTTCTGAAAATGAAGTAAGACTTTTTGACATAAATTTCAACTTTGAATTGAATTATTGCCTAAATTCAAGTACAATTTTTGAAGGACAATATTATTCAACCCTATAAAGATTTCTTACACCATTATACGTGTTATTTTTTTATACAATAATTTTATTGACTACTTAACTATTACTGTATTATTAGCAATTTTTCATTCCTACTTAATCGTGTATCCAAGACTAGAACTGATAACATAAGTCGTCATGTAATATCTAATGAAGATACATAATATCACATGTATACTAACACCCTCTAGTGCATTTACTAAAGTATATGGCTTAAATTCCTTTCATATTGTCTAGTTTTCTAGACCCTTCTACGTCATCTTTCTGTGTTGCAAAGAGGGTATTTTCGTTTACTTTGAACACCTATTCGTTCGAACCTTGAGCATCTTTTTGACCTACGACTTCTTTTTTGTAACCATGTTTCTTTAATTAGATCAGAACCCTTTTCACCAATCATAATAGTTGGAGCATTAATATTCCCATTAGTAATAGTTGGCATAATACTAGCATCTATTACTCGAAGTCCTTCAACGCCATAGACTCGTAACTGAGGATCCACTACTGCCATAGGATCAGTAGATGGTCCCATTTTAGCTGTACAAGAAACATGATAAATCGTCATAGTATATTGTCGAATGAGACAGTCCCAATACTCGTCAGTATAGAGAGGAAGATGCTTACAATTTGGAACAGGTTTGTAATGAAATCTAGCTCCAAGACGCTTCATTGCTTGCGTCTCTCCGACAGCTACTGCAGCTTTGACACCTTCTCTCAGAACACCAACATCATCCGGATGCGTTAAATAATTGTGGTACATTAGTGGATAATCAAAAGGATTTTTAGATCGCAACTTAATGAAACCTCGACTCTTTGGACGAAGCATCATAGGAAATATACCGAAAACATCTTTATTATTAATTTCAGCAAATACTTCATTGTAAAATTCATCAGTGAGGCTATGGGCTTTTTTTACTTGCGTACCACCATCTGAAGATGTTGAACATGAAGTCATCATAAATTCAATGTCTGGCCAATCGTCTGATGCATTTGCGTATTTGGTATTTATAAAGGCAACTACTTCTAAACCAATACTTGAAGTCAAAGGGCCATCTTCTGTAACCGCATAGCGAAGCGCAGAATTTATATTTACCAGTCTGTTCATAACTAAACTAATTGGGTAGTCAATCTTAAAAGCTAGACCGCCAACCGCTATATGATCCTGTAAGTTTTTTCCAACACCGGGAGAGTCATGTATAACGTCGATACCAACTTCTCGAAGATGACTTTCAGGTCCAATTCCCGAAAGTAAGAGAAGCTGAGGTGACGCAATAGATCCAGCAGAAAGAATTACTTCTTTTTTGGCATAAACGACTTGCATTTTACCATCTCTAAAGAATTCCACGCCATATGCCCTTTTGGTTTCCTTATCTATCAGTACTTTTGTAACATGTGAAAAAAGGGCAATATGAAGATTCTGACGAAGTCGTACTGGACGAAGGAAAGCTTTTGCTGTGGAGCAACGTGTTCCTCGACGTACAGTTAACTGGTACCAAGCATAGCCCGTCTGTTGTGCTCCATTAACATCCACGATGTCGTAACCCATCTCTTCACCGGCTTGAAGAAAAGCTGCGCCAATCGGTGTGTTGTAAGGAGAATCTTGTACAGTCAGATAACCACCTGAAAGTAATAATTCACCAATTTATAGTTTTATTATTATTGCAACCTTTTGTATTAAGTCTTTGTTTTATTTGTATTCCGTATTTAGAGTAATCGTTATAGGTGTCATTTTTACTTAATGATCATCGAAATAAATGTTACAATAGTTAACTACAAGTCTGTGACATACATATTCGTACAGATAGTTAAACAGAAAGTTCTAATATTTCTAAGCATGTTTTAAAAATGTTTGTCGCCATTATCCACCTCATACTCCATATAACATATCATAATCCACCTCTTAAGTAGTAAATTAATATTATTTTCATTACCTGTAGAATGATGCCTTGTATCTCTTGCTAAATATGGATTACGTTGATCCATTGATTTCTTGAAATATGGTAGTACATCTTCGTATCCCCATCCTGGATTTCCGAAGGACTCCCATTGGTCAAAGTCACGTTTATTTCCTCGTATATACAACATAGTATTAAGAACTGACGATCCTCCAAGAACCTTGCCTTTGGTCCAGGCGCAACGTTTGTCTATCATAGCTTGGCATGCCGTGTCCTGTGGTTCTGTCCTGAAATTTTAATATATTTTCTATAATAATATCTACTGTAATATGCAGAAATGAAAACCATGGAAAGTATTAAGTATAGAAGTGGATTGACGTAAGGTAAGGAATAAATGACAGTTGACAGGGATTTGTGTGTGTGTGATCGAAGAAGAAAACACTGCACTAACCTCAAAAAAGTAGAAAAAGTCAAGGCAATATGAATAATACGTAGTATAATAACTAGTTTCATATTTCTAAATCCTCACTCAATTTCCTTATTCAGAATGTTCTTGATATCGTTCGTATTAGTCATATATTCAATGTCTAAATTTTATTTGCAAATTTATTGTATCAGAAAAACTAATAGATTTCAATGTCAGTCTTATAGGATCAAAAAGATGAATATACCTATGTCATAACTTCTTTTTATTCGTATATTAAGATCTAAATGTGACTAAAAACAAAACATAATATATCGGAGCAAAAGAAAAAAGTCCGAAAGAAAATTTCATACTAACCGTCTGAATATTATGGTAACAGTAGACTAAAATGTTATTTTGCCAGAATAGAAACGAAAATAATGAAGCACAAAACAATATCATACCTGTATTTCCAATCCATCTTACTCTTGTGTAAATACAATGACAGTAGAGGAACGTCACTTATTTCATTCTCATGTCCACCAGCTTCTAACAAAAGCACGTTCCAGCCTTGAACTTCGGACAGTCGATTGGCCACCACTGACCCTGCAGACCCTCCGCCTACAATTACAAAATCGTACGTTTCTCGAAGATTCTGTTGATTGAAAGGCCTGTTCTCGGGGTCTATGAGATTGTAGTTGAAGTAAGCGAGGGTTGCCAACATAATGGGTATGAAACTCAGGGTACTGACGCCGGCAAACGCCAGAGCTGACTTCGCGGCCACTGAAGCCACTGTGCCCACACCCATGTTTGTATTAGTTCCGCCTCATTTGTACCTGAAAATAGATAATGTAAATACTGTTATTAGAAATTAAAATAATTAAATATTTCTTAGTATGTTGGGCAAAATTTACATTTATTAATGTAGTATGGTTTATTAATAATCGTTTGGTCCCAGTATAGAATAGCCACCCCTTCCTTTCCCGTGGATGTCGTAAAAGGCGACTAAGGGAGGGCGAGAGATAAGCAGCAGCGTCACTCTTAAAACATCTCTAAAGCCTAACTGCGATTGCCAATCCACCTGCCAAGTGTGGCAACTACTGGCAAAACCCCGAAGGAGAGGTTTCTGTTCAGCAGTAGATATTTAAAAGCTGATATGGTGATGATTTGTCGACTATTATTGCCCACATTTCACCTAGTATATTTAATACTATACTATAAAGTGAAAGAAGACGAATCTAACGATTTCTATCGGATTAATAGAAGTACTATTAAAATTATAATGAAGAATAGTTTTAATAAAATTAATTTGACCGTTAATATTATTTTTTTGGACGAAATCTATACTTATAATAAATCTGTGGAGAGGTCAATTCTGTACATGAAATATATTTCCAAAATAACTATCAAGGGTGATTAGTGATCCATACTGATGCCAAAAGTGCAATTAGTAAAATTTTTGTCTGTCTGTATGTTCGTTATACAAATAAAAACTACTCGACGGATTTTAACGAAATTTGGTACAATTATTTTTCATACTCTTGGACAGGTTATAGTATACTTTTCATCACGCTACGATCAATAGGAGCACAGCAGTGAAGGGAAATGTTAGGAAAACGGGAGAAGTTACTCCATTTTTAAGCTTCCGTCGCGTGTGCAGCCTTAATGGCCACTTTTTGAAATGTAAAAATGACCACCCGACCCGATGCGAAGCCGGGACGGGTCGATAGTATTTAATATAAGACAAATGTACACTAAGATCAACTGTGTTTTTTCTATCCAAACCAGCAATTACCAAGCTAATTTAGGTAGTGCATGTAAGGTCATTATAATATAAATATATTTGTCTATAAAACAGGTTCGTTAGACGAAGTACTTACTATATTAATTGATATATTGACGTGTATACTTAAATTTATTAGTTTAATAATGAAGGTCGCCCCTTCTATACAATTCTAATCGTGTCTAAGTATAATGTTAATACAACCGCTGGAAACTTATGAGCAAATACCGTAGTCCGGAAGATCTTCCGGGTAAGCCAACACGATAGCGCGGCAAGGCCGATTAAAGCGAGATTGTTATAGCCCTTAGAAAATTAAATACAATTTCCTATATAAAATAATTGTTATGGATTATAATATTTAAGAACTTTTCTACATTTTTGCATAATGTACACTATTCTATATATCTATATTAAGTATAGTAAAAAAAAAATTGTTCTTTTATTTTACGACATTATATCATCAAAGTGTCCTGAATTTGATGATGTGATACTAATCTATTTACCGTGAAACGTAAGTACTATAAATAAAAAGATAAAATCGAGTATCTTTACATCCTAAAAGTAAGGTGGTAGCAAATGCCTATTGTATTAAGTCCACCTTTTATAACACACCTTATTCGTCATTAAAGTTTACATAAATAAATAAATAAAATGTATTCTAAAATTAATTTAAAATTACTGTTATGAAAATGCAAAATTAAATACTTCTAGCATTTATGGTGAAGAAAAAATATAATAAATTAAAAAAAAAAAAATACAATTCGGCTTTCTATTTTGAATTACGCCGACGTCTGTTTTTTAGATATGATCAAGGAGCTACTCAGTAACCTTACAAAATTTTGCGATTAAACTTTAGTTTGTGCAAATACGATCACATCTCTGAATTCTTCATGAAATACATATTCTGTCTGCACTTTAAAATATGATAACAACATTTCTAATATTTATGATTGCTACTCTATTTCTGAGTGCAATAAAGAATATCGTAATGAAAATAAAAAGTATAAAATTACAGAAATTGCAAAAACAAACTAAAAACGTAATAGAGAGTTCAAGGCATTCTTGTATGAATCGGTCATGGAACCCCATTAAGTGCATTCCTAACACGTTGGCCGGTTCTTCAAATAATTTTATTGGGTAATTATTTACAAAATGTAATGTTTATTAAATTAATCGTTCATTAATAGGTCATTAACATTTATATAATTTATTTTATACTAACTGACCTGGCGAACATTGCTTCGCCGCCTACCGGGTACAGTTCATCTATTAGGAGAAAACTATACTATATCTCAAATTGATGCAAATAATATACAAAATTTCATTAAAATCAGTTGATGCAGAAATGAGTTTAAAAAAAAGCATGAATGAATATTCTGACATTACATCTATACTAATTCAGCGCGCTAACTATTAGGTTATTTAGTTAGTACTCGTATACTCACAGATGAGACTCAAAATCTACATCTAAATTATTCGTCTACCCACATGTTTCTTTAAGAAAATTCTTTAGTTATACTATATACTTTTTAGAATATTCTCTTAAAAGGGTGCTAATGCCTTTGATTACACCTTATATATGTATTGATAGTAATGAACACTTGACATTACATCTATACTAACAAAGCTCGTCCAATTGTTTTTTAATGTATGAGAATGAAATTGTAACTCCGCCTGCGCTATCGGTTTACACTGGCGGGGCACCAGCGAGGGATGATAGGTGAGGATGAAGTAGGTCAGTTAGCCCACCGTGACGAATCTAACAATAAATCAATCATGATGGTTTCCAGCGGGAACCACAACGAGGTCGACCTAATGTTGTATATTGCTAGCAATGGGGCTACTAATCCCCATTACTAACAATCCCTTCTCCCTCTAACTGTTAAGGTAGTATAGATAAGACTCGAAACTATTAGTTTTTTCGTATGTTTCTTTAGAAAAAGTGTTGTTTTACTGGTAAAATACTCTTAAAAGAATGCTTTTTTTTTTTCTTAAAAGAATTCTTTGATTTTGCCCTAACATATATGTATATTGAGAGTGTAGATAACCTACATCGGTCTAGCGCATTCATGCGTATGAAACCAGATCTTACCGCTGATTTGTAAGGTTGCACTTTGTGTTATTATAGTTCATTACATGTCCTATGACAACCAGAGGACTTTCAGAGCCTCTCACAGTGGAAACGGCGTTGGCACAAGTGCATTATGTCACAGGGGGAGTACTTTGAAGGGGATAAAATTGATTTACCTGAATAATTGTAAAATAAAATTTTTAAAAAACTTTTATACGTACTTTCCGAACAAACCTCGTAATTTCACTATTATTATAGTTCATTACATATAAACTTCGAATATATTCGTGATCTATTAATACTTTATTTTTTTTTTTAATATTCATTCGTGCAGACAGTAATTAATATCTAATTATGTATATAAATAAATTCTTTAGTTTGATTACAAATATTATGATTAAACTGTGAACGGTTTGATTATCTTTCTGAAGTGGTTAAATAGAAATTTTATGAATATATTTTTATTACTAAAACTTTATTTGTACATCTTAAAACACACCAAGTTGAAAAATAAGAACTTGGTAATAACTAAAAATGCACTCTGACTAAATAACTGAAAGTGTTTTATCTATTTTTTTTTTTTTATCTTGTAATATCTAATTTAAAAAAAAAAATTATGTAATGTATATACAAAAATTTACGAAATCATATTGCCGTCTCTTAAATATTGAATTTCAATACCTAGTGTTAATATTGATATCAGAAGAATAAAAAAAAGCAGCGTTGCCTAAGAGCACTTATCATTTGACATAAAAAAAAGACGAACTTATATCCATCAAAAAATAAAAAATAAAAACTATGGACTTTTGTTAGCAATAGTTTCTTATGTCGTAAGTAAGTACATCTTTTATCTATTTGTATTTTTTGGTAAGTGTGCTAATAGTACAACTAATGTAAAATTTATTTATATAGAATTTCTGGGAACGTTTATTTCAAATCGTAAAGGAAAATACTTTAGGATTTTTTTTTCTTTTCCAGGATTAGACTAAAACATTTCCTGACAAGTCGAATCACATTTGCATAAATATGTAATGTCAATATTTCTTCATAGAATCCAGATACTTCTACAGTTTTCTGGATTACAAAAATAATATCTTTTTACATCTTTAATCCCTTTAAAGAAGAAGAGGATATTTTAAAGTATAAACTTATATTTATTTATCATAATTATTTATAATATATCTTATATGTTCTGTATGTTTCTCTTAAATAGTAAAACATTTTTAAAAATGTATTGTGTAGCGACTTTTAAGTATAGTTCTAAGGAGCAGTAACTATTCATACTTAATATCATAAATTATTTTCACTTAATATGAGAAAAAGAAGAAAAACAACTCTCAATAATGAAGTTTTTTTTTATTGATCAACCGACTTCAAAAAAAGGAGGTTCTTAATGCGGTTGTAATTTTTTCTTTTTTTTTTGTTTATGCCTCATAACTCTGCCAGTTCTAAACCGATTTGGAAAATTCTTTTTTATCTGAAAGGATTTACTTACAGAATCCCGTAGAAATTTTATCAAAATCAATTTAGTAGTTTAATTTTTAGGTTTTGTCGTAGTTGAAGTAATTCTTTTTTGTGGGGTGTAATCTTTATCTATGTAATGATTTTTGTACATAAAATGTTATTCTATATATACAGCAATACATTTTATATAACTGCCTGTACAATTTGAAGGACATATGAGTATATAAAGTTGCAATGAATGAGTATATAGAGTATGAAAGACGACACCTTTCACACTCTGTGCAATATTGAGTACCTATATGTACCATAATGACAGTCACGTAACGATTATGTAACACTCCTTGTCACATGGTAACGCACATTGTTCACTTGTGAATTTCGACCTTAGAGCCGAAGAGGTTTAGAGACATTGCGAAAAACTTTACCTAGTTACGTGCCTATTGATTTTACGCTCAAAAAAGTCTGTAGGAGGATCGAATGATTCTTTAAGATATCACTAGCGGGGAAAAACCCTCGAC